TACCACTTGAGCCACAGCGCCACTTCCGGCTTTTTTCTTTTTGCTTATGTGGTGCTGAGGAATCGAACCCAGGGCCTCAGGCATGCAAGGCAAGCATTCTACCACTGAGCCACCTTCCCAGCCCGGATTTTCCCATTTTTCTTGGGGGAAAAAAAACTTGAATGGTGTACATTCTAGTTTTGTTTTGTTTTTTTTTTCCTCCAGAAACAGTTTAGATGAATCAATGAAAATTTGTTCTGCTGGGCACTTGTGGCTCATGCCTGTAATCCTAGCTACTCAAGAGGCTGAGATCTTAGGATCATGGTTCAAAGCCAGCCCAGGCAGGAAAGTCTGTGAGAATCTTATCTCTAATTAACCACCCCTAGAAGTGGAGCTGTGGCTCCACTAGTAGAGCACTAGCCTTGAGCAAAAAAGCTAAGTGACAGTACCCAGACTGTGAGTTCAAGCTCCAGTATCATCTTTAAAAGAAAATTAAATGTGGGCTGGGAAGGTGGCTCAGTGGTAGAGCGTTTGCCTTGCATGCTCAAGGCCCTGGGTTCGATTCTTTAGCACCACATAAGCAAAAAGAAAAAAGACGGAAGTGGTGCTGTTGCTCAAGTGATAGAGCACTAGCCTTGAGCTGAAGAGCTGAGGGACAGCGCCCAGGCCCAGAGTTCAGGCCCCACGACCGGAACCCCCCCCAAAAAAAGAAAGAAAATTAAATGTAACCAAGATATAACATTGGCAATGTCATGTCCCCATATCTATTCATCTAGTACTCATAACTAGACCTTCCACTGCTATTTTCAAAAATACTCTTCTAGTACATTCTTTAGAGAGCATTAAAGCACATGAGAACCAATTTGGAAGGTTTGTAAGAATTTTATCACCTATCTAGATAGCTGGAGATGTACTTGATCACTTTAGGTGGAGAAAACAGCAGGACAATTTAGGATTGATAACTTGAAAGTAGAATTTGGAATGCAAGTCACCAGTGGTCACTGGCCATATAGCCACCATGTTTCCTGCAGGACTCCATCCCCTGTGGTGACCCTGGCCTCTGAATGCTGCTACTCCCCTGCTTAGAAACAAATCCCTGTGCATACACTCAGCCCTTGTACATAGATCCTCTTCTTGAATTCTCAACTCAGTGAAGTAGTGGGTGACATTATCACTCTCTAACTGTCCTCTCAAGGTGATGCTGTCATTGCTGCACCTAGGACTTTGTTCCCACTCACTAAGCACTTTACACAAACAAGGTGGAGAGGAAACACATGTGGTTTGGTTTGGTTTTTCCTCACCTGTCCAGAACAAGGTCTGGAGCAAAGATGAGCTTGCCAGGGTGATCAATCGAGCGCCACATCAGCCCCACCATCAACACCTCCATCCAGCAGCTCTCCAAGAGCCTCACTTGGTCCAACAGGCTGAGCTCCACAAAGCCTGGGGAAAGCAAGAGGCCATGAGACATACCCACCCTCCTCCTCCTCCTTGGCAACCTGTTTCTTTTCTTCTCTTCTCTTTTCTTTTATTAATTGGTCCTAGGGCTTGAACTTGGCCTGGGTGCTGTCCCTGAGCTTTTCTGCTCAAGGCTAGCATACTACTACTTTGAACCACACCACCACTTCCGGTGATGAATTGGAGATGAATCTCTTGGAAGGGCTGGGAATGTGGCTTAGTGGTAGAGTGCTTGCTTAGCATACATGAAGTACTGGGTTTGATTCCTCAGTAGCAGCACATAAACAGGAAAAGCTGGAAGTAGTTCTGTGGCTCAAGTCGTAGAGTGCTAGCCTTGAGCAAAAGAAGCTCAGGGACAGTGTCTGGGCCCTGAGTTCAAGCCCCAGGACTGGCAAAAAGAGAGAGGGAGAGAGAGAGAGAGTCTTTCCTGCCAGAGTTAGTTTCAAACCATGATCCTCAGATCTCAGTCTCCTGAGTAGCTAGGATTACAGACTTGAGCCACCAGTGCCTGGCTCAACAACCTGTTTCTGTAAAGACAGAATAGCAAGTTTTTAAAAGCTAAGAGGACATAAACAATATAAGGAAATAATCACTCTCTCAAAGATATGATTAAATGCCGGTAAAATGAAGAAAAACTTGAACTAAAGGTAAACAACTTGCAGCTTCCAGTCTTGAATCCCTTCTAGAGACAAATAAACTTCATATGGTTTTTATTTTAAAAACAAAAACAGCTTCCCAGACAGATGCCAGATGACAATGGAAGGTCCGATCTGATAGCTGTACTGTCCTGGTAATTTCTGAGCACTGCTAGGAAACCCCGATCTTGGCTGGTGGTCAGAAGGGCTTCCAGTTCCACCCATCCATATGTGGGAAGCGGAGGGGGGCGCGGCTGCAGGTGACTGGAGTGGATAGAGGCTGGGAGTGAAAACCATGGGGAGTAGGGCCAGAGTCAGCAGAAAGTCAAAGCTTCAACTTAAATGGCTTCTCTGATTGCTTGACATTTCTAAGCCAAAGTCAGGATCATTCTGGGCAGGAGTACTCTCAGGCTGATTTCACCCTAACGAGCAAATATAACCACCACTCTAATAGCCTGCACTGGTTGCACAATTGGAAAGAGACAGGTCATCTCCAGAGAAATGAGGCTTTTGCTTTTGTTTTTTAAAGCAAGAGCATCTTCTATAAGCTATGATAAAAGCAAGGAGTGGTGAAATATAAATATACAGTCACCAAAGGCACATCGTTGGAATGAAATAGACCCTGGTTTGAGCACCTGTCAGTCAGCTCCGTCCCTTCCTAGCTAATGATTTAAGCTCCTGTTAAGTCTGCTTTTCTCACAGAAAAAATTGGTGACAATTTTATCTACCTCTAAGGGTTCCCTACAGGTAGAATCTCATAGTCATTTTACCATAAAGAAACTATGGTACAGTGATCACACACATGGTTGAAAGCTTTGAGCAATTATACTGTAAATCCAAACAAAGGACAATTTAAGAAAGTAATGAATGTGAAGTCTGGGCAAATGCTTTCCAAAACCACTTGCATGTGCTTAGTTCAAGTTCCTGAGAGATGTCCACATTCCCATCTTACCCACAGTTGCAGACAATAAGCCCACCTCACATAGATCAGTCAGTCCTTCCTCCCTCTCTCCCTCCCTCCCTCCCTTCCTTCCTTCCTGGCCTTGAACTCAGGGCCTGAGGGCTGTTCCTAAACTTTTTACTCAAGGCTGGTACTCTACTACTTGAACTATACCTCTACTTCTGATTTTTTGGTGGTTGATTGGAGGTGAGTCTCACCAATTTTCCTGCCTGGGTTGGCTTTGAATCATGATTCTCAGATCTCAGTTTCCTAAGTTGTGAGGATTACATGTATGAGCAATCAGGTCCCAGCAAGCTTTTAGTTTTTTTGTTTGTTTTTTGGTTTTGTTTTTGTCTGTCATGGGGCCTGAAGTCTGGGCCTGGGTGCTGTCCCTCAACTCTTTAGCTCAAGATGAGCGCTCTACCACTTGAGCCACAGAGCCACTTCCAGTTTTCTGGTGGTTTATTGGAGAAAAGAGTCTCATGGACTTTCATGCCGAGGCTGACTTTCAACCATGATCTTCAGATCTCAACCTCCTGAGTAGCTAGGTGTGAGCCACTGGCACCTGGCTAGCTTTTAATTTCTATAGGTACCCAAAAAGCTCAAGGCTAGATGTTATTTAATATTGTTTTGGCTTGGAAAATGGCCAGGTCAGATAAAGAGAGAAGGGATCACAAGCAAAGACTGTGCCCAAGTTTTCTGTAAAAAGGTGACAAGCACTAGATTTGAAGAAGTATTAATCAGCTTAAAAGTTGTTTTGCTAGGACACAAGCTGTACAGTTTTCAGGAATAATCCCACCACATGAGATGTTGCCAAATATTCTTAGGAATATACTTATATCAAAGACTAGAGGAAAAATGCATAGAAACAGCAAAGAAAATAAAGTCATTTTGACAAAGGAGAATATGATAGACAAGACAAAACAAAGCCAGAAAGCAGCAGTTTCCCAGCTCAGCAGGAATGAATGAGTCTAGGCCAATCAATGACCCTATCACCCGAGGTCTTGGTATCCACAGCTCTTACCACAGGTACCCTTTTCCAGCTTCTCAGCCTCACCCAGTTTTTACAGTTTGCCTATTGCAGCTGCTGCCCCCCGGCCATGACAGCATCCCCTGATTCAGAACCTGAGACAGATTTCATTCCTTCAGTGTACAGAATTGGAGGCAGGCACTGGTAGCTAGCTCATGCCTGTATTCCTAGCTATTCAGCAGGCTGAGATCTGAGGATCTTGTCCAAAGCCAGCCTGGAAAGGAAAGTCTGTGAGACTCATCTCCAATTAACCACCAAAAAGCCAGAAGTGGAACTGTGGCTCATGTGGTAGAGCGCAGGCCTAAAGCACACAGTCTCTGGGACAGTGCAGTGCCAAAGTCTTAGGACCATCACAAGAGAGAGAGGGAGGGTGGGGGGAGAGAAAGAACTGTGTGTGCCACAGCTTCCTGCCTAGGCTGGCTTGCGATTTTTTTTTCTTTTTTTTTTCTTTTTCTTTTTTTTGTCGGTCATGGAGCTTGAACTCTGGGCCTGGGCGCTGTCCCTCAGCTCTTCAGCTCAAGGAGAGCGCTCTACCACTTGAGCTACAGCTCCACTTCCTTTTTTTTTTTTTTCGCCAGTTCTGAGGCTTGCCTGGGTGCCTGGAAGCTATCCCTGAGCTGTTTTTGCTCAAGGCTAGTGCTCTACCACTTGGGTCACAGCCATACTTCCAGTTTTTTTTTGTTGTTTTGTTTTGTTTTTTGTACTTTATTGGAGATAAGAGTCTCTTAGACTTTCCTTCCCCAGGCTGGCTTTGAGCCATGATCCTCAAATCTCAGCCACTTGAGGAGCTAGTAATACAATGTGAGCCACTGGCACCAGTCTGATTTTTTTTTGGGGGGGGGGGTTAGGTCCTGGGGCTTGAACTCTGGGCCTGGGCGCTGTCCCTAAGCTCTTCAGCTCAAGGCTAGTGCTCTACCACTTGAGCCACAGTGCCACTTCTGGTTTTCTGATGGTTATTTGGAGATAAGAGTCTCACAGACTTTCCTGCCTGGGCTGGCTTTGAACAGTGATCCTCAGATCTCAGCCTCCTGAGTAGCTGGGATTACACCCAGCCTGATTTTTGTTTAATGATACAGTATCTTACAAATTTATATTTAGCATCTGACAAACCTTTCATTCAATTTCATAATTGCCATATATCCTACACCTCACCCCAACCTGACCAAACTCCCCTTTTCTTTTTTTCTTTTTACTTTGCCGGTCCTGGGGCTTGAACTCAGGGCCTGGGCACTGCCCCTGAGCTGCTTTTGCTCAAGGCTAGCACTACCACTTGAGCCACTGCACCACTTCCGGCTACTTCTGTGTATGTGGTGCTGACGAATTGAACCCAGGGCTTCATGCATGCTAGGCAAGCACTCTATCACTAAGCCACATTCCCAGCCCCAAGACACCTCTTTTCAAGAAGAGAAGCCCCCACAGCCCAGAGAGACAGGTCGGTGGCGGGTTCCCTACCCGTTCCTTTTCATCATGTTCCAGGCCCAAGAACCCTAGAATCTCTTGCCCAAATGGCCCCAGTTGAATCCCAGAGCCTGGTTGGGTCATTTCCCTGGGTGCACCCTCCAAGGCCACCCTGCCAGCAGAGGTAGCCCACTATAAATGGATCACCATTAAGACCCAGCAAAACCTTACCAGGAATTTTCTTGGCCCAGCCGATCATGTGCACCAGTTCCTTGTCGGCCAGCTTGGTGAGGGACATCATCATGGAGGCCTCGGTGAAGGGCGTGGTGGGGCGGCTCACCAGCACGTGGGGCGGCTCTGCCTCCTGCAGGGTGAGCACCAGCTGCTCGGGGCTCAGGTCGTTCAGCAGCAGCTCCTTCACCCGGACCACGTGCCCACCGGGTTTCTTGGCTTTGCTCAGGACGTGCAGCTGATCGCTGGAACTTCTCTGCCTTCTCACTATGCGGTACCCACACCTTTCTCTCCGGGAGCCTAGAGAGGACAGCAGAGGGTTAAGCTGGTGCTTTCCCAGCAACCTGAACAGCCAGGATTAAAAAGAAAAGACGAAGAAAAGAGAAAAAGATGTAATGATATCATTGTAGGACCTGAATCTCTCCTCAGAATGTGTCTGAGAGCAGAGACTTCACTCTTTTCTTTGGAACCTGGGAGGCATGGACGGAGGATGACTACAGTTGGACATTATTAACAAACTCAGCACCATAACTTTTAGGTCTCCATTGAAGGTCATCCAGCAATACTAAGTCCAGTGCTGGCATATCTCAGTTTCCAAACTATGAAATGAAGATTTTTTTTTTCCTCAAGTAGAAAATGGGGAAAATAATAACACTTCAACATAGATATCTCACTGGGCGCTGGTGGCTCACGCCTGTAATCCTAGCTACTCAGGAGGCTGAGATCTGAGGATTGCGGTTCAAAGCCAGCCCGGGCAGGAGAGACCGTGAGACTCCTATCTCCAATAAACCACCAGAAAACTGGAAGTGGCGCTGTAGCTCAAGTGGTAGAGCGCTCGCCTTGAGCTGAAGAGCTGAAGGACAGCGCCCAGGCCCAGAGTTCAAGCCCCACAACCGACAAAAAAAAAAAAAAAAATAGAAATCTCTAAATAAGTACCAAATATTAACATCCCAATATTTTTAATGCTTATATACATGTATACATCTTTTCCTTTTTGCATACTTACACAAACAAGTATTTCTCAAATAAACTAACTGAAAAAATCTGGAAAATATAGAAGAGAAGGGATTTTAGCATACATTTAGTCTTCTTATACTCTTTCATATTTTGTAAGCAAAATTAGAATCATGGTGTATATACTATTTCATAACTTGCTTTTTCCCATATCAAAAGTGTCATGAAGCCAGGTGCCAGTGGCTCATGCCTGTAATCCTAGATACTCAGGAGGCTGAGATCTGAAGATCGTAGTTCAAAGCCAGCCTGGGCAGAGAGTCCATGAGACTCTAATCTCCAATTAACCGCCAGAAAACTGGAAGTGGTGCTGTGGCTCAAGTGGTAGAGTGCTAGCCTTAAGCTGAAGAGCTGAGGGACAGCACCCAAGCCCAGAATTCAGCCCACACAACCGGAAAAAAAATGTATTACTTCATTGCAATAATTTAAGGAAAATTTTTTTGGTTTTTTCTGGGGGGGGTTGTTTTGTTTTGTTTTTGTCGGTCATGGGGCCTGAACTCTGGGCTTGGGCACTGTCCCTGCACTCTTCAGCTCAAGGCAAGAGCTCTACCACTTGAGCCACAACACCACTTCCGGTTTTCTAGTGTTTTATTGGAGATATGAGTATCACGGACTTTCCTACCTAGGCTGACTCTGAACCGTGATCCTCATATCTCAGCCTCCTGAGTAGCTAGGATTATAGGCATGAGCCACCAGCACCCCGCAAGAAATTAAGTTATCAAACCAAGAATACATGTAATTTTTAATTTATTTATTTATTTATTTATTTATTCCCAGTCGTGGGGCCTGAACTCTGGGCATGGGCACTGTGCCTCAGCTCTTCAGCTCAAATCTAGTACTCTACCACTTGAGCCACAGTGCCACTTCCAGTTTTTCTGCGTATGTGGTGCTGATGAATCAAACCCAGGACCTCATGCATGCAAGGCAAGCACTCTACCACTGAGCCACCTTCCCAGCCCCTGTAAAAAAAATTTATATACATTAACAGATTAATCTCCAAAAGCATTTTAAATTTCATAATCTAAATAGCTAATTTCATAATCTAATAGCTTAAATTCTACCTATTTCTTCACAATACTATTGGGCATTAAAATAATTTTTAATCATTATTAATCTTAAGAGTGATTAAACCATTATCCTACTTTGTATTTTTTAAAGTTAGTAATAAAGTCGACTAACATGTTTTTCTTTTGTATTTCTTTTCCTCCTCCTCCTCTTCTTTTTCTTTTTTGCCAGTCCTGGGGCTTGAACTCAGGGCCTGAGTACTGTCCCTGAGCTTCTTTTGCTCAAGGCTATCACTCTGCCAATTGAGCCACAGCACCACTTCCAGCTTTTTTTATTTAATACTGAGGAATCAAACCAAGGGCTTTATGCATGCTAGGCAAGCACTCTACCACTAAGCCACATTGCTGGCCCTATATTTCTTTGCTTATGAATGAACTGTTGTTTATTTTGCCCCCTTTCTCTCTTAAAATTTAAAAAGGCTACTTATAAAATAATGATAGACAACTTTTGTTATATGCAATATTTGTCATGTTATTTATATAACTTCGTTCATGGTATACTTTGTTTTAAAAAGCTTTGAAACTCAATCAAGTGTGTCATATCATTTCACATCTAATTTATACAAACATTTACCTTTTTAAAAAGTTGTGCATTTCAGATCTATTTGGAGTTATATGCACATTTGTATTATGTGATATTGGTATTTCATGTTATATCCAAGTGGATTACAAATTCCCCAATATTATTTACTGAATAAGTTTTTCCCACTGTTTTTAAGTGGTTTGTTGCCTTTTTTTTGGGGGGGGGTCAGTTGTGGAGCTTCAACTCAGGGCCTGGATGCTGTCCCTGAGCTCTTTTGTGCAAACCTAGGGCTTACCACTTTGAGCCACTGCACCATTTTTGGTTTTTGACTGGTTACTTGGAGATAAGAGTCTTACAGGGACTTTTCTGCCTGGGCTGGCTTCAAACCACAATCCTTAGAATCTCAGCCTCCTGAGAAGCTAGGTGTGAGCCACTGGTGTCCAGCTACTTTATTGCTTTTTTTTTTTTCTTGGTTGGTTGCAGGAACTAGCATAAGGCTAGTGCTCTACTACTTTGAGCTGTGGCTTCTGGTTTTCTAGTGGTTAATTGGAGATGAATCTCATGAACTTTCCTGCCAGGCTTTGAAGCTCAATCCTCAGCCTCCTGAGTAGTTAGGATTACAGCCATGAGCCAGTGGCACCTGGGTAGTTACTTTTCATGTGCATGCTGGTATTGAGGACTGAACTCAGGACCTGAAGCAGAGTGCCTGCCTAGCAAGTTTGGGGCCTTGAATTCAATCTTCAGCCCTCAGTACTGACAATTTTTTAAAAAGTACTTCTTTGATTACACATTTCTCCTTTGTGTAGTGTATAAGGATAAGAAGTTTACAAAATATATTCTTACCCAATGTGAAAGATTTTGCATCCTTGCATTTAAATTTAACCAACTTTTGACAAAATCTAAGTTCAGTAGTGAGTTCTGGGCATGCTAGATTCAATTTTTTTTAATTTCACATGACAGAATGCTCAGCATCCTTGGCCATAAAGAAAATGCAAATCAGAACAATGCTTGAGATTCCATCTCACCCCAATTAGATCGGCCAACATTGTGAATTCAAACAACAAAAAATGTTGGCAGGGCTGTGGGGAAAAAGGAACTTTACTGTACTGCTGTTGGGAACGTACAACCACTCTGGACAGCAGTCTGAAGGTTCCTCAAAAAAGCTAAACGTAGACCTTCCCTATGACCCAGCCTTACCACCCCTGGGCATCCACCCTGAACATCATGAGCCAGGATATGATAAGGACACCTGCACATCCATGTTCATTGCCACACTATTCACAATAGCCAAGATATGGAAACAACCCAGATGCCCCATAATAAATGGATACAAAAAATGTGGAACCTATACACAATGGAATTTTACACAGCCATTATAAAGAATAAAATAATGTCATTTGCAGGGAAATGGATGGAACTAGAACGAATCATGTTAAGTGAGGTAAGCCAAGCTCAGAAAAGACAAACAGTATATGCTCTCTCTGATATTTGGAAATCAGATCTAAAATACACTGGGATATGATAAATTATAGGAGATTCTAGATACTCACAGTGAGACCAAAAGAGGATACTCAAGAGAGAAACACAAAGATACAATGCCTATATGCCTCTTCATATTAACATACAATAATATATTGAAACAAATTCCCAGATATGGAAACAAGAAACCTCTTCTTTTTTTCTTCTTTTATATCTTTGTATTTTTATTTTTTGATGACTCTGTCTTCTTTTCCTTATGTATGGTGTCTTCAAGTGTAGATCTTCTTTTTTTTTTTTTGTCAGTTGTGGGGCTTGAACTCTGGGCCTGGGCGCTGTCCCTCAGCTCTTCAGTTGAAGGTGAGCACTCTACCACTTGTGCTACAGTGCCACTTCTCAAGTGTATATCTTCAGAAGGGTTAGAGGAAGGTTCAGAACTCAAGGGAAAAACGGTGAAAAAGTACAGCAGTGGAGCTCACTGAACACTGATAAAAGTGAACTATACAACTGTGGGGGGAGACAGGAAGGAGGGAATGGGTGAGAATGAGGGAACAGAAGACACTGTACAAAGGAAATGTACTCATTACCTGACTCATGTAATTGTAATCCCTCTGTACATCACCTCTGTAATCACAATAAATTAAATAAAAATCTTTCAGGCAAGGAATTCATTCATTTTTCTTTTCCTTCCTTTTTTTTTTTGTCTGGGACTGGGACTTGAGCTCACTTGCTTTTTGTCTGGAGCTCTACCACCTGACCCATACCTCCAATCCATTTTTTTGTCAGTCATGGGGCTTGAACTCTGGGCTTAGGCACTATCTCTCAGTTCTTCAGCTCAAGGTGAGCTCTCTACCACTTGAGCCACAGTGCCACTTCTGGTTTTCTAGTGGTTTATTGGAGATAAGAGTCTCACGGACTTTCCTGCCCAGGCTGGCTTTGAACCATGATCCTCAGATCTCAGCCTCCTGAGTAGCTAGGATTACAGGTGTGAGCCACCGGCACCTGGCTCAATCCATTTTTCTATAAGGATATTTCTAAATGTTGTGGCTTTGACATCATCACCTCAGAGGGAGCAAAACAAAAAAACTATCAAATAGGGAACTAGGGATGCTCCAGATTAGACAGTGGTTAACAGTCCCAGTGAAAGAATATTAATGGCCAGGCACAGGTGGCTCACACCTATAATCCTAGCCACTCAGGATTTTGAACCAAGATCTGAGGATCTTGGTTCAAAGCCCGCCTGAGCAAGAAAGTCCATGAAACTCTTATCTCCAATAAGCCACCAGAAAACTGGTAGTGGCACTGTGGCTTAAAGTGATAGAGTGCTAGTCTTAAGTGAAAAAGCTCAGGGACAACACCCAAGCCCTTAGTTCAAGCCCCATGGCTGACCAAAAAAAAGAAGGATATTGATTACTTGACTTGTTGACAATGAGGATGGTGATAAATGATAATAATGGCAATTGACACCTACTGGAACCTTCCATAGGCCAGGCATATATATAGGACACAGATTATCCCAGGCTGACAAGGGTCTTAGAGACCACTGCATCTGCAACATACAGAGCAGGAACATAAGAGTTCTCAGGTATCTTGCCCAAAGTAGGAAGTCTACAAAACAGCAGAAGCAGGACCTAAACCCAAGCAGCAGTTTATATCCAGAGCTGGTGCTTTAAATAACTATTGCATACTACTTACCTATCAAATCCCCTTCATGGAAGTACATACAGCAGGTAAGTAAAGAGATGTCACCAAGAGCTGCTGAGCTAATGTCCCAACCCAGGGGTACAGACCACACAGGCAACTATTCCAGTTGTTCTCCTGCCTACTTTGCATAGCAGTACATCCTTATAACGAAGCCTTCCTTCTTCATTCTATCCAGATTTCTTCCATTTAAACAATTAGATTAATACTACAGTAGGAAAAAAAAATTGGAAGTGCAGAAGAAAAAGACAGTAAGAAACACGAGCCATGAATAAAAAGTTAAGTAGATGGTGCAAATGGATCTAGAATGCCGGTTAGAATTCTGTTCACTGAAGAACAAATGTTGCAACTGCATTGTGTTAAGTTGTAACTGACATGACCTGTTCCATGAGGGGAGAGCAAGAGGAAGGAAGGGAAGTTGAAGCAGCAGACACTGTGCCAGGCCTAGGTCATTTGAACATACAGTCAACATAACATGAAGAAACAAAACAAGATGCCCTCTGTAGGACTTACACTTGCTCTGACAGCCATAACCGACCAACTCATTCTAGTACAATAAAATGTTCTTTTTTTTTTTTTGTCGGTCGTGGGGCTTGAACTCTGGACTTGGGCACTCAGCTCAAGGCGAGCGCTCTACCACTTGAGCTACAGCGCCACTTCCGGTTTTCTGGTGGTTTATTGGAGATAGGAGTCTCACGGTCTCTCCTGCCCGGGCTGGCTTTGAACCGCGATCCTCAGATCTCAGCCTCCTGAGTAGCTAGGATTACAGGCGTGAGCCACCAGCGCCGGGCCTAATAAAATGTTCTTATTAGCTACTCAGGAGGCTGAGGTCTGAGAAAGTGCTGTAAAGCCAGCCCCAGCAGGAAAGTCTGTGAGACTCTTGTCTCCAATTACTCACCAAAAAGCCAGTAGAACTGTGGCTCAAGTGGTATGGCACTAGTTTTAAGCAAAAAAAAAAGCTCGAGGACAGCACCCAGGCCCTGAATTTAAGCCCCAGTACTGCATACACACGCACACACAAAATGCTCTTATCTTAAAACTAAATTTGAAAATTTTTTTTGTCAGTTGTGGGGCTCGAACTCTGGGCTTGGGTGCTATCCTGTGCTCTTCAGCTCAAAGCTAGTGCTCTACCACATGAGCCACAGCAACATTCTTGTTTTCTAGTGGTTTATTGGAGATAAGAGTCTCACAGACTTTCCTGCCTGGGCTGGATTTGAACCCTGATCCTCAGATCTCAGCCTCCTGAGTAGCTAGGATTACAGGCATGAGCCACTAGTGCCCAGCTTGAAACAAAACAAAACAAACTACACAAACCTTAAAATATTGTTCAAGTGCTGAGCATAGTGATGCCTACCTACAGTCTCGCACTCTGGAGGTTGAAGCAGGTAGATCACAAGTAATCTTCCTCATGAGACCCTGTGTCAAAACCAAAGCACAAGGCCCTGGGTTTGATAGAGACACATTTCCTCACAAAGCAGGGACACCAACCTATATGGCAGTCCTTGTATTCCCAGGCCATGACTGATGGTGGCACTGCTTGGACCATGTAGGTTTGCAGATGGTTTGCATTACAACAAAGGTCTACAAAGCACAGTGATTTATTTGGTCCTAGGTGTCTTCCTAGACCCACTTTGCTGGATAGGATACACTCAAGTCAGGGTCAATTTCAAGGAGAAGTTGGGCCCTGGGGTTTGTAGAGCTGCTACAAAAGTACCGTGTTCCATCCTCTCTTCTATTCATTTTTTCAATTTCTATGCTATGTCCATTGTTTCTTTCAAGTAAATACTACAAAGTCCTCATGGCAAAGTAACAATTATTTATGATAAGTGTCATAAATAGTTTCCTAATTATTGCTCCCTTCTAGGCATCTAGTTTACAAGCCCTAAAAGTAAAAGAACCATTGTTCTCTACTATATCTGGCACATTTAAGAATCTAGGAACTTGTAGGCATGGATGGGGATGGGGGGAAACTGGGGGAAAGCAAAGGAAAGGGTGACATTGTCCAAAAAGAATTGTACTTATGGGGCTGGGACGGTGGCTCAGTGGTAGAGTGCTTGCCTTGAATCATGAGGCCCTGGGTTTGATTCCTCAGTACCACATAAGCAGAAAAAAGCCAGAAGTGGCGCTGTGACTCAAGTGGTAGAGCACTAGCCTTGAGCTGAAGAGCTGAGGGACAGCTCCTAGGCCCAGAGTTCAGGCCCCACGACCAGCAAAAAAAAAAAAAAAGAATTGTACTCCTTACCTGACAATGAAATGGTAACCCCTCTGTTCATAATAAAAATAAAATTGTTTTAAAAAAAATAGTTTATGGTGCTGGGAAGGTAGCTCAGCGGTAGAGTGCTTGCCTCGCAAGCATGAGGCCCTGGGTTTGATTCCTCAGCACCACATAAACAGAAAAGTCCAGAAGTGGCACTGTGGCTCAAGTGGTAGAACACTAGCCTTGAGCTGAAGAGCTGAGGGACAGTGCCAGGCCTAGAGTTCAAGTCCACAACTGACCAAGAAAAAAAAGTTTAAGATCTACATCTGAAAACCTTTTTTTTTTTTTTTTGTGGGGGGAGGCGGAGTGGAGGGGGAGGCAGTCATGGGGCTTAAACTCTGGGCCTGGGCTTGAGTTTTTCAGCTCAAAGAGAGCACTCTACCACTTAAGCCACAGCACCACTTCCAGTTTTCTAATAGTTAATTGAAGAAGAAAGTCTCACAGACTTTCCTGCTCAGGCTGGCTTTAAACCGTGATCCTCAGATCTCAGCCTTCTGAGTTGCTAGGATTACAGGCATGAGCCACCAGTGCCCAAGTTTTTTTTGTTTTTGTTTTTGTTTTGTTTTTTACTAAGATGCCTCCAAATTACCAAGGCCCCCGGTTTGATAAACATGCCAAGGTGTCTGTCAGGTAATTATCCAACCAAGGGCCACAAGTCCCTCAAGCTGTGTAGTGGCTTCTTCTGCTGCTAAAGCAAAATCTGCCTCCTATTGTTTGCTTGCACTTACCGCAGCTCTGCCTGCAGCCATGGGAAATAAGTCAGAGCAACACAACAGCATCCACATACTGAAGGCAGTAACCACGCCGTCCATCTCCTGTCATTCCAGCCCGCCAGTCCCCAGCGTCCATCCCTGCCCCACACAGCAGAAAGGATGGGAATGCTCACCACACTTCACCATCCCTACTTCATAGCACTTCCGCAGGCGGCAGGCCTGGCAGCTTTTACGCCGGTTCTTATCTATGGTACATTGATTTGTAGCTGGGCAAATATAATCATTATGGCCTACAGTAGACAATAAAAACAAACAAAAAATAAGATCATTGTTGCAATACTCCAGTGAAATCTCTTACAGTTCAATAATGCTGACAACACTACCCAGCTGAGAGTATGAAATAGGTACAGGTACAACCAGAGTTATGAAATATCAAATATTGAAATTATGTTTTAATTCACAAAAACTCACATTTGAAGCAATCTATTGCACCCCCCCCCTGCATATACCCAACCAACTCTCTCAAACACACACTGAACCTTGGAACTGCTCATTAAGTACAAAACATGTGTCAAATGGGTCATAGTGAAATGTCTATCAGGTCTTCTCTGCAAAATTGTTAGAAGGCAAAAGTTGAAAATTAAAGAAGCAGAAAGCAATGGTGCTGTACCTTGAATGCTTCTTTTAAAAAAAGCCTTACATCCTTCACATGACCAGACTCCGTAGTGATACCCAGATGCATAATCGCTGCACACCGCACAAAAGTGAGCATCCCTCTTTGAGCTTGAACTGGAAACAGGACTGGTGCAGCTGCTCCCACTAACCTTCCTTTTCAGCGTCTCTCTGGGAGCAAAGGAAATGTCCATTGTAAAAGAACTTAAACAAGGTGTCAGTGGTTCATACCTGTAATCTTAGCCACTCAGGAGGCTGAGATCTAAGAATCAGAGTTCTAAGCCAGCCCAGGAAGGAAAACCTCAGATTATAATCTGAGCTATTATATATATAGGCATGAGGCACCAGTTTCCAGCTTTGGAATGCTATATTTGAATAGTTTCTCAGTGATCCTTACTATTTTAGTTCTATTTTAGTGCTATTTTAGTTCATTATTTTTGAAGTTGTGTGTGTGTGTGTGTGTGTGTGTGTGTGTGTTTTACCAATTATCTCTTCAGACTTCATTGTTAGTACTTCATTTAAGTTGGAATACTGCATAGTTACTTTCATTCTGGAAATAGCTTATCGTGAACACTAAATTGTCATTTCATAATAGCACTCTAACCTGAAAGTAAACATCTATTTTTCAAACCCATTTATTTTTCAAATGCTTTCATCAAGAGCAAATTGAGAGTTTATTGCATAAAAACAGTAGTCATGATTTTGAACTCTTCCCACAACATTCATTCATAAGCACAACTTGGCAGTAATAGGTTTTAAGGATTGGGCGCAGGGTCTCATGCTGGCTAGACAGGTGCTCTATCACTTGAGCCACCCCACCAGTCCCTTTTTGTTTTGAATTGATTATTTTCTGGATGGATCTGGCTTTAAAACTGGCGAGCCTGGGATCTGTTCCTCCTACTTGTATTTCCTCATCTCACCAAGGATGATGGGCATGAACCCATATGCCCAGCCAATAGTTGAGAGCCTCACAAAATGTTATGTCCAGGCTGGCCTCAAACCACAATCCTCCAATGTCTGCCTCCCAAGTAGCTAGAACAATAGTCTTGAGCCACTCTGGCCAGCTTGCATAATTTCTTAATGAGAAGGAGACTATCAGAATGGAACAGAGCATCCTAGCATCCTGTGTCATGGATGCTATAAGTATGTAAGTAATCTAGCTGACTAACAAATAAAGACATCATACCATACACATCCTCCTTCTCAATGGCTCATAAAGTGAATTGAACAGTGCTCTTGAATGACAATTCCAAAGGAATACGTACCTGTTTAGAGGTAAGGTGTGCTCTAGTGCTCTTGCTTCACACCAAGGACTCTTCTGAGGCTCTGCATACAGAAGGGACGACTGGCAATGGATCGCCAAAGGAGACAGATGTCCAGGAGCTGACCACAGCACATCTGGGCTTGTGGTCTGTCGACCAGGCCCACCATCCAAGTTATTACCATTGCCAGGAAGACTATAGTTCACCAGAGCTGGGCTATAGAATGTCATGGCTGAGTATTCATGGCGGCTCTCTACATAGGAGGAAGGAATATAAAGGGGGCCATGCTCCAGGGGTAGGACAGGCTGACTGCAGTTGAAAGAGGTGGGAGAGTGAAGGCTAGATGGTGAGTTTTTGATATCCATGTCTTGAACAGGTAACAGCTGAGAAAACTCCTTGTGAGAAGAGGCACAAATGGACATTCTAATGGTCTCAGAACCTCATGAGTAGGTGAAGTGCCTATAAAGAAGAAACATACTGGTAACTTCACTAGCCCTATAGGAATAACTGTTTAAAGAGCTATAGCTGGCCAGGTAGCAGTGGCTCACACCTGTAATTCTAACTACTCAGGAGGCTGAGATCTGAGGATCTCAGTTCAAAGCCAACCCAGGCAGGAAAGTCCATGAGACTCTTACCTCTAATAAACCACCAGAAAACCGGAAGTGGCACCATGGCTCAAGTGGTAGAGTGCGCCCCTTGAGCTGAAGAGTTCAAGGACAGTACCCAGGCCCCACAAACGACTAAGAAAAAAAAAAAGAGCTATAGCTGGGTGTTGTGGTACATGCCTGTAATCTCAGTGCTCAGAAAACTGAGAAAGGAGGATCTTGAGTTTGAGGCCAACCTGGGTTGCTCAGTAAGACCTTGACTGAAAAAAAAACATTAATTTTGCTTTAAATACACGCCCATATTTGTACGGGATGACAAATACATCTGGTAACTTATGGATGAAAATATTAATTCCAGTGAGTGAAGGGATGGGTGGGGAGGGATGGATGAGAATGATGAAGGGTACACTGAACAAGATGCACTGTATTCATAAACTGCTTTGTTCAATGGCAGCTCCTTCATACAACTACTTAAGAGATAAGAAAAATATCTTAAAAGAAAAGAAAATGGAGCTGGGAAGGTGGCTCAGTGGTAGAGGGTTTGCCTTGCATGCCTGAGGCCCTGGGTTTCATTCCTCAGCACCACATAAGCAAAAAGAAAAATCTGGAAGTGGCACTGTGGCTCAAGCGGTAGAGCACTAGTCTTGAGCTGAAGAGCTGAGGGACAGCGCCCAGGCCCAGAGTTCAGGCCCCACAACCGGAACAAAAAAAAAACAAGAAAATATTTTTTTTAATAGCTGAGGTCTTTATTTCAATTTGTATGTACAGTAAAAGTGCTGCTGAGAGAGTCAGCAGCAAAGAAAAGAAAATATTAACCACTGAGGGGTGGAAGTGTGAGGCATGGGTAGCTTGCTTTCTCTTTCATTCACTTCTTTATTGCTTTGGGCAGATAACTGCAAAATTTTTATGCCCAATAATTTATTATATATATTCTTTAAAGTTGTACTGGGAAGCTGAAACAGGAGGATCATGAGTTTGCTAGAGGCAAGACACTGTCTCAAAAAACAAACAAACATGCAGGGCATTGGTGGCTCACACCTGTAATCTTAGCTATTCAGGAGGCTGAGATCTGAGGATTGTGGTTCGAAGCCAGCCTAGGCAGGAAAGTCCATGAGACTCTTATCCCCAATTAAGCATCAGAAAATGAGAAGTGGTGCTGTGTGGCTCAAGTGGTAGAGAGCCAACCTTGATCTGAAGAGCTGAGGAACAGCGCCCAAGCCCAGAGTTCAAGCCCTATGACCGACAAACAACAACAACAGCTGGGCACTGGTGGCTCATGCCTGGAATCCTAGCTATTTAAGGAGGCTGAGATCTGACAACTGCAGTCCAAAGCCAGCCCAGGCAGGAAAGTCTGTAGACTCTTATCTCCAATTAGCCACCAGAAGACTGGAAGTGGAGCTGTGGCTCAAAATATCAGAGTGCTAGCCTTGAGCAAAAAAATCTCAGGGCCAGAACCCAGATGCTGAGTTCAAGCCCCACAATCAACAACAACAACAACAACAACAACAAAAGAAAGAAAGAAAGAAAGAAAGAAAGAAAGAAAGAAAGAAAGAAAGAAAGGAAGGAAGGAAGGAAGGAAGGAAAAGGAAAGAAGGAAGGCAGGCAGGCAGGCAGGCAATAAAATCAAAATCTTCAAATTCAAAAACACAGGAATACATGTAAGTGCCAGCAAATTCCTTTTTCTAGACCGTGATAAGCTCAATTGTAAGTTCTTATAAAAAAAATAAACAAGAATTGCCAGGTAAACCATAAAAGGAAAGATCAATGAACAGGGCTAGTATCCACTATAATCAAATATATTGTAAATCTCTAATAATAAAAAATTAGAAAATAATTTAAAATTAGCACATGAGGCAACTTGATCATTATCAGTCACTTATAAACCAAATTGACTGAATTGAAGATAACTTGCCACTTATCAATCTATTGCTTCTTGCTTTGCATACACCTTTCAGTCTAGGTTCTGTGAATTCCTTCAAGGCTAAAATGACCTCAGTAGCGGATGCTAGATTGAAAATTCAAATGGTAGGCAAAAATTCAAAACTCTGGTTGGCAAAGTAAAGGTATGACAACTTATACTGGGCTTGGAACTCTCTCCTATAATGGTCGTAAATGTCCAAAGGAAACAATCTCCATTGGCCTTTGGAAATAGATAACAAAGCTCCATGTGTTTTTGCTCTGGGGATTATGAGTCTTTCTTAGAAAAATAATTCTTTGTTACTGTTGTAAATGACAGTCACATTCATTGCTTACTCTGAGAAACTGGAATTAAAGGAAATGACTTGAGCTAGAGGCATGGCTCCTCTGTGGAGCAGCAACTCAAGGAGGCTGAGATCTGAGGACCACAAATGAGAGAACAAGGCCCTGAAGCCAAATGCCAGTACTGAAAGAAAAAAAAAAATCAGGCCATTCCCTGCCTTTTTGAGCAAATTTCTATTTTATCCCAAGGTCAAAAAAAAAGCTCTTATTCACAAAAGAATGTAAAACTGGTAAGAACCAATGAGTCAAAGTATTACAATTATTGAGTCTAGATAGCAGGAATCGAAATGTAGTGATGCGAATCTTTCAACTGTTCTGTAAATTTGAATTTTTTGGTTAAAAGTATTAAAGAAAAAAAATGCATAAAGTAATACCAGAGCCAATGGCACATACCTGTAGTCCAAGCACTTGAAAGGCAGAGGCAGGAAGATCTTGAGTATGTGGCAGCCTGAACTACGTAATAAAACCTTGTCTCAAAATACTAATGGTGGGGCTGGGAATGTGGCTTAGTGGTAGAGTGCTTGCCTAGCATGCACGAAGCCCTGGGTTCAATTCCTCAGCACCACATAAAAAAAAAGCTGAAAGTAGCACTATGGCTCAAGTGGTAGAGTGCTAGCCTTGAGCAACAGAAGTTCAGGGACAGTGCCCAGGTCCTGAGTTCAAGCCCAGGGACTGGCAAAAAACAAAACTAAAAAACAAAATAATAATGATGCCAGGCTTCAGTGGCTTACACCTGTAATCTTAACAACTCCAGAAGCTAAGATCTGAGGATCCTAGCTCGAAGCCAATCAGGGCAGGAAAGTCTGAATCTCCTATCTCCAATGAACCACCAAAAAATCAGTAAGCAGAACTATGGCTGGGGCGATAGAGAACTAGCCTTGAAAAAAGCTCAAGGACAGCACCCAGGCTCTGAATTCAAGCCCCAGGACTGGCACACACACTACTCACACACATATACACAAACACATAGTAGTAGTAGTAGTAGTAGTAGTAGTAGTAGTAGTAGTAGTAATAGTAGTAGTCGTAGTAAGCTGAGCATCAGTGGCTCATGCTTGTAAGGAAACCAAGATGTAAGGACTATGATGGACTATGATTTGAAGCCAGAAAAGTCTGAAGACTTCATCTCCAATAAACCAGCAAAACATTAAATGCCAGCTGTGCTTAACTGAACAAGAAGGTTGAGCAAAAGCTCAAGGCCCTGCGTCTGACAAAAGCAAACAAAACAACTAGCTCCATCCAATCTGCACTGTTTCCCACAACCTCTCTAAAAATAACACCACTTCCTTTAAGGCATTCTACTACATTGCCTAAACTCTCATTCATTCTAACCTGCTCTTCCCACGGAAAACCTGCTGTGTCCATAAGAAATAAGCACTTCACTTGCAGAAGCTTTAAATCACTTAGAAACAAAATCCTCTTTACTGAATTAGAGATATACCAAATCCTTCTTGGAAATGGTAGAAGTGGGTAGGAAAGTACGAAGTAAAACTAGAGTTTAAGTTCTCTGAAAGCATATGCAACTCTTCCTTCCTTTTGTGTATGTGCGTGTGTGCATGCGTGTGCACATACACACACACATACACCAGTACTGGGGCTTGAACTTTAAGGCCTCACACTGTCACTTGGTTTTTTCCACTCACTGGTGGTGCTCTACCCCTTGAGCCATATCTCTACTTCCAGCTTTTTGCTGATTAATTAGAAGGAAGAGTCCCTTGAATTTGTCTGCCTGGACTGGCTTCAAAGCAGCCACTGATGCCCGGCTTATATGCAATTTCTTATCCACCTTCCACAACAACTCAAGAAATATTTGTGATAGAGAAAGAATATTAGATATAAGAATAACAGAAAGAATATCAAATATAAGCGTAAAATATAAGCTTTGGCAGACGTGGTATGGGGCTGAAGAAAGGAAGGCTTAGGGGGGCCTGCCTTCAGAAAGCTTCTGTGCCCAGCACCCAGACAGGATTGTCTGTCACTGGCACAAGGAAAAATCCAAATTCAAATTCTGAAATACAGCTTCTCCTCTAGAGACCTCATAAAAATGGATTACCCACTATTCACCCTTTCATCCCCAGCTTAGCTCACTTAGCTTAAAGTCCTCGAGTTTCACCCATGTCATAGCATCAGAATTACTTTAAAAAAAAAAAAAAGGCTGAATAAGCCAAACACTTGGTGACTCACATCTGTAATCCTAGCTATTCAGGAGGCTGAGATCCAAGGATTTTGATTCAAAGCCAAACCACGTAGGGAAGTCCGTGAGACTCTTATCTCTATTAAACCTGTCAGAAAGAAAAGCCACAAGTGGGGCTGTAACTCAAGTGGTAGAGCATTAGCCTGAACACAAAAGCTCAGGAACAGAGTCCAGGTCCAGTGTTCAAGGAGCTACACAGATAAGACAGACAGACGGACGGACGGACGGACGTTGGTGGCTCACGCCCGTAACCCTAGCTACTAAGGAAGCTGAGATCTGAGAATCACAGTTCAAAGACAGCCCGGGCAGGAAAACTCCATGAGATTCATTTCCAATAAAGCACTCAGAAAACCGTAAGTGGCACTGTGGAGTTCTAGCCCCACAACCAACAAAAATAAATAAATAAGTAAATAAATAAATAGCTCACA